ATTCATTTGTGGGATATTGAGCTGAGAAACTATGTTTTTGTCATTTTGATATAAAAAGTAGTTGTAATATAAAATACTCCACCCAAATCTATGTTTATGTTTTATGTGTATGTTTACTAACTAGAAGAGAGAAGCTCAAAATATCCAAACCCAAAGTAATGATAAGGAGATGGAAACATTAATTACCCTGATTACCAGTACATGTTGTATGAAAGTATTGAAATATCACACCATGCTCCATAAATGTGTACACTTATTACATGTGAATCAAAAATTTTAAAAATGTTTAAGGAAAAAAGACAACTCAAGGGCAACCTTCTTTGTGAGGCCTTTTTCACTTTTTAAAGGCAGAATTAATGAATGTATTATTGGATTTTCCATTGTACTGTCAACACTTCTTATAGCACTTAAAAGATTATTCTGTAGTTTATTGTTCACATGCCAGAAGAATTCTCCTTGACTCAAACATAAAAAACAAAGTGAAACAAAACTGTCTTAACTTATCTTTGTATCTCCAATGCTTTGTTCACTACTTGAGATGTTACAAATGTATAATAAGTACTCATTGAATGTATTAGTAAGTTAAAATACAATTTAACTCATTCAATAAATAAATATTTGTCAAGTATCTATTGTGTACTAGGTATTTTAGCAGTGGGAATTCAAAATTTTAAAAAATTCTCTTGCCTTCATCAGAATTAAATTCTAGAGGTAAAGAAGGCAAGGTACAGACTGTGAAGAACACAAAAGAATAAAAGAACAGAGAATGATGGAGGCTTTAGTTTTAATTGAAAGTCACAGAAATTCTCACCAAGGATTTGACAGATACAGACCTCAGTTAAATAAATTATCAAACTGTCTTATAAAAGAGCATTTCAGTCTGAGAGATCAGCCAGTTTAAAGACTCAAAGAGTATTTAATTGCATGATCAAGAAACAGTAAGGAGGCCAGTAACTGTACCTTGGTGAGCAAGAAGGAATGTGATAAGAGATGGGATTGGCAGATGTTACTAGGCCAGATCACATTTAGCCATGATAAAGATATTGAATTATATTCTTAATGTAATGAAAGGCCAAATGCAGAATTTGCACCAAGAGAATAATATGATGAGATTTATATTTCAGAAGGCTCAATCTGTCTGTTGTATGTGAGGCTAAGAAAGGCAAGAATGGAAATGGTGAAAACAGGAGGCTATTCTAATAATAGTCCAAATGAGTGAAGATGGTGGCCTGGACTAGGATGGACTGAATAATTTGTATGGGACTCTGAGAATAGGAGCTGTTAACATTGTAAGCCAGCATCACTAACCGAAGCATTTAAGCAGATGAAAATTTAAATGTAAGTAAAGTACACGTATGTGGTGGAATAATAGGTTAAGAAATTAAAGAACTTTTTTCTTCATTCCAGCACTGCTTTTAAGCATATGTGACTTTAGAGAAGTCTCTTACTTTCTGTGGCCCTTAGTTTTTTCAAATATGAAATGAGAGGTAGAACTAACTTTTTTCCAACTAGAAAGATTTTTTAAAAAATAAAAGTATATTGAATGGTCACTGTTTGAATACAGAATGAAACACTTCAGTGGATTGAGAAGTATTATAAGACATTATTGTTCATATGATACTTATATTTGTAAAACATTTTATAAAACAAGAGATCATAAATTTAAATGCAAAAGTATGTGATGCATGTTGTAAGTTCTGCAGAAGTTTGGAGAAGAAGAAAACTAGCAAAAACTGGATTAGTCATAGAGGTAATAGATACATGATACGTAGGTTTTCTTAAGTGTTTAGAGGGAAGGACATTTTGGGTAAAGAGGACATGAGCAAAGAGGAAATCTTAATGAACATAGCATGACATGGATTATGATATAGGAAAATTCAGTCAAGTTCAGCCTGCTTGAATGTGGGGATATATGAATAGTGGGAAAATAGTGAGGAAGAATGAGATAAAAACAGAGAACATTAAAACCTAGGCAGAAATATTTAGCTTTACTGTGGGCAAGGACTGGGAGTCATTATAGATTCTTCAGTAGGAGAATATTGTGATACAAATATTCAGGAAAGATTTGTGTAGTGATGTGTACTTTGAGGACAGTTTGAAAGTACTTTTTTCCAGGTAGTATACAGATATTTTGCATACCTTTTTTCATTTAGTCATCATAACACCAATGGAAGAATCTAAAGATCAGAGAATTTAAATAGTTTGTCAAAAGGTCTGATGTCTAGCAAGTGATTTGAGATGAGATTTGAACTAACAATCTGCCTGATTGTAGAAGGTTAGATAGAAGAGTCTTCAGTCAGGAGGTATCACCTATAGTAACCCAGGTATAAGACAATGATGCATATACCACCTGTCATGGGAATGGAAGAGGAGATGAATGAAAGAGAACATATTAACTATATAGAGGAGTAAAACAGAATGAATAAAAGAATATATTGAAGTATTTCTTTTGTGAAGCTAGTGAAAATTACTGTGTTTTGTGGTGGTAACTGTTAGGAACTGAGGCAGACAGAAAGGAGTAGAGCAATGGAAGGAATAATATTCAATTTGAGAATGTGGTGGAGATATTTTTTTAAACTCTACATATTTATTACTGAACCAACCAAAACCAGTACTATAGAACTTTCATAACTAAAAAGGATCAAATCTGCAGTTAAATATGCCCACTACCCAGTGGTGACATTTTTCAGCTTGATGTAATGAGATGATCATAACCCAGATATAGATATGTGTGCCATTTCATGGTATGATTCTTTTAAATATATATTTTTTAGTTGTAGTTGGACATAATACCTTTATTTTATTTATTTTAATGTGGTGCTGAGGATTGAACCCAGCATCTTGCACGTATTAGGTGAGTGCTCTACTGCTGAGCCACAACCCCAGCCCCACATGGTATGATTCTTCGTAGACCCAGCTTGGTTCTCCTCCTGTGTCTCCTCTTTCATTCAAATTCATTGGAAGTAGGACAATTTTGCTTTTTTTCTTGGACAGAAATCACTTAATCCTGAAAGTCTTGTGAGAGGATATGGTAAGGAACAGAATCAAGTACATGTACCACAATGGCCAAGAAAAGGCAAAGAGTGGAATTGAGTTTTAGATGTCAATCTGATAAGAGGTTAATATCTAGAATGCATAATTTCAAAATTCCAGAATGTATAACAACTCTACAATGACAAAAACCAAAACTTTATTTGAAAATAATGGGCAAAGGACTTGGTAAACATTTTTCTAAAGAAAATATACAAATGACTACTAAGTATGTGAAAGATAACTCAGTATCACTGCACATTAAGCAAATACGAATCAAATCACAGCAAGATTTCACTTCATGTTTATTAAGATAGCTGTTATTTTTAAAAATGAAAAAGAATGTGTTGGCAAGGATGTAAAGAAATTGGAAATCTAGTATTATGGCTTAGTCAAAGTGTCCCCCAGAAGTTCATGTGTGAGATAATGCAAGAAAGTTTAGAAGTAAAATGATTGGTTTATGAGAATTTTAATCCAATCAATGCATTAATTCCCTAGTAGGGATTAATTGGGTTGTAACTGTAGACACGTAGTGTGTGGATGGAAAAGGTGAGTCATTGCGAGGTGGTGTGCCTTTGGGGTACATATTTTGTCCCTGGTGAGCAAGAGTTCTCTCTTCTTCCTGGTGTCATATCCTAAGGTACTTTCTTCTGCCATACCCTTGCATCTTGATGTTCTGCCTCATTTTGTGTCCAAAGCAATGAAATTGGTCATCTATGAACTGAGACCTCTGAAACTGAACCTCAAATAAACTTTTCATTGTTTTTGTCAGGTCTTTGGTCATAGTAGCAAAAAAAGCTGACAAAAAACACTTAGGCATCACTGGTGGAAATGTAAAATGGTATAGGTACTGTGGAAAACAATTTGGTGATTCCTCAAAAAATGAAACAGAGTTACTAAGCAGTCTATCTGAAAGCAGGGACTCAAACAGATATTTGTACACCAGAGTTTGTTACAACATTATTCACAATAGCCAAAAGTTATAAACAAACCAAATATCCATCGACAAATGAAAGGGAAAATAAAATGTTTAAAGTACATACAATGGTATATTATTCAGTCTTAAAATAGAGCGAAGTTCTAACACATGGTACTACATGGATTAATCTTGATATCCATATACTAAGTGAAATTAGCCCGACACAAAAGAGTATATATATTGTATGATTCTACTTGTTTGAGGTATATAGAAAAGGCAAATTCATAGGGAAAGAAAGTATGGTACCAGGCATTGGGGAAAGTGGGGAATGAGGAATTATTGTTTATTGGGTACATACACAATTTCTAAATGAGATGAAGAAGAAGTTCTGGAAATGTGTAGTGGTGATGGTTATACAACATTGGGAATGTACTTAATGCCACCGAACTAGACATTTAAAGATCTGTAAAATGGTATATTTTATATGTATATTTTACCACAATTTAAGAGAAAAAGCTAATGGCTATTGTAGAAGTTATAAACGTTATTATGCTTATTAGAAAAGAAGGTGCCAACATGTTTAATCTTAAAGGTGTTCTCTTTTGTATGCTTATTTACTTTGTCACCTTTTTTATGTATTTGTTGATGATTTACCTATCTTAATTCTTATTTCAAAAGCATCTAACAGTCTTCTGTTTCATAAAACAGTTTTTGTTGTTTAAGGTTTTTGTTTTGTTTTTCTTTATTTGAGTCAGGGTCTTACTAAGTTGCTGAGGCTGGCCTCAAACTTGTGATCCTTCTGTCTCAGCATCCTAAGAGTCACTGGGATTATAGGGGTATGCACCTGGTTTTCCTTGAGTTTTAATTACTGAAAACCTTAGATTGTTTTTCATACTTTTAAATAACATTTGTGTATGTTTACCTTAAGATTAATTGTAATAGTAGTATTTTTATCATTAGTAAAGATGTAATATATGGGTACTCTTGTTAAGAATTAAGAAATGCAGCTGTTTTAGAGAAGTCTTTCTTCACTATGGTGATTTGCTTGCAGGATGAAGATGAGCTGGATTCCCACACCATGGTGAAGACTAGTTCAGAAAGTGTGGGCACAATGCGGGCTACGAGCACAATGAGTGAAGGAGCCCAGACCATGATTGAACATAACAGTACGATGTTAGAGTCTGACCTGGGGACCATGGTTATAAACAGTGAGGACGAGGAAGAAGAAGATGGAACTATGAAAAGTATGTGGCTTTTCCCATTGAATATTAGTTTTCTCTTTTGAAAGTGTTCAAGGAACCAGGGTAGTTCTGTATTAATTTTTAGAGTCAGATATGGAAAATTTTGTTTCTTGATTTTCACAGTTTAAAAAAAAAGAATTTTTTTATTTTAATATAGCACAAAGGAATGCATTTTTAACTTAGGATTATCAAATTTTTTTTCTGTTGAAAGTTGCTAGCCATAATTTGATTTGTATTCTAGAAAAAAAGAAGATAGTGTTCCTAACATTTACTTTTCCAATTAAAAAAGTAAACCTAAAATTCTGTTCCAATAAGTATAGCATAATATTATTTCATGTTGTCTAAATTAGCAGTTAAGCCACAGAGACGGGAGTACTATAGAAAGAAATGAGAGATGAAGTAAGAAAATAAGAAACACTAGCAAGAAGTATCAGGAGACAGGGGTGCTCATAGAGAAAGTTCCATTCCATGCATATTTACTGCTGCTTATCATTTGTGTTTGAGGCGCAATGCCAAGGGTACTGCAGGGGCTGAAATGCTGGTTAAATCGTTCTCTCTGACCTCTGTCACTTACAGAATGATAAAGATAGGGGATCTTCCATGGACTAGCATTTCTTTCTTAAAATAAGTTTTAAAAAAAGGGAAATTGCATGGAAATGGAAGGAGACCCTCAGGGTTATACAAAAGAACATACAAGAGGAAATGAGGGGAAAGGGAAAAATAATACAAGGGGGAGAAATGAAGGTCAGTAGAGGGGGTAGAGAGAGAAGAGGGGAGGGGAGGGGAGGGGAGGGGGGATAGTAGGGGATAGGAAAGGTAGCAGAACACGACAGTCACTAGTATGGCAATATGTAAATCAATGGATGTGTAATTGATGTGATACTGCAATCTGTATATGGGCTAAAAATGGGAGTTCATAACCCACTTGAAGCAAAGTGTGAAAGATGATATATCAAGAACTATGTAATGTTTTGAACAACCAACAATAAAAAAAAATAAGTTTTAAAAAAAGTTTTTGAAGATACTACAGTTAACAGTGCAGGCAGAACATTGTGATTTCACAGTGATAGGTAGAAACAGATAATTATCTCTTCATCTCTCCTGACCTTTTTCTTCTTTTCCTCCTGCTACCCTCGTCCTACGTGGTTAATGTTGAAGTCTAAGCACTAGATGTTTTCTTCTATACAGCTTTGCTTCTAAATGGTAGGAAAGCAGGATTACATGATTGCTGCCATCATAGAGCCTAGAAAGTTATAAATAATCAGATGGAACTGCAAAATGAATATTGGAATTTCCTCTCTTGACATTTTTATTTTCTTTTTGCCCACCCCTTTCTCTTTGCTACTGCCTCTACGTTGCTGTTACCTCTCTGAGGTCCTGCCTCATAGCTTTAAGTTATTAGCCTCACTCTGCTGCTTTCTTCACATTGTGATTGCATACTTTGAAGGGGAAAATCATGAAGCATGAAATGCAAACAGATTGTTAATCCTAGAAGAATGGTGAAGTTTATAAATTTTCTATCTCCTACCACTTGTGGATCTACTACTTTGCCCTGGAAAACAGCCTAAATCTTTGATTTTCCAAAATTTCTAGCTGGTCTTCTGAATAGAACAGACCTTCTGCATCCATAACATATCAAACTCAAATGCATAAAGATGTTCTTGTGGCCTCCAAAGCCATTGGTGTTTGGGTACAAGTCATATGTCCTGTAGATCAAAAATACCCTTTGTTAAGGTAGTTAACATATTTCCCATCAGCATACAGCATACTTTTCTGCAACTGATAAAATTCTTTCAATCAAAACACAGGATTTTTAGCATATAAGTTAGAAGATCTGGAGTGCTTTATTATATCTAATGAACTCCAGAGCTTCCTAAAATATAAACAACTTTCATGTAGTTGTAGTTCAACATCAGCATATGTACAGTGGATAAAAAATGAGTCTTCATGGAATCTCATTTATGTTAAGTTATTATATTTCAAGAAAATAGTGATGATGATTTGTCAAGCATCATACTTTAAAATCACACCACAGATTTCCACAAAATTCATGTTGTGATGTGTAGCTATGACAACTACAGAAATCAGCATATTATAATTTGATGATAATACATAGGTGTGACTTTTGTCACATAAAGATTTTATTGAAAGCCCATTTTTAAGTTGAGCAGATACTGTTTTATGCAGCTGCAGTTGTTTTATATGCCTCAGCAAGTTTTAAATCCCTGGGCCAACTATCTGTATTTTGTATTTCTATAGATAAGACATCATTCCATGGTGTGGGATTTTTGATGTTCTCCAAAATCAAATCAAGTGATACTAGACTAACCCCTAGTGTTGTCATACTGTAGTATAGCAAGAGTAACAAATGTGGGGTGAGGTTGTGACTCAGTGGCAGAGCCCTTGCCTCGCACATATGAGGCACTGAGTTTGATCCTCAGCACCACATAAAATAAATAAATAAACAAAATATAACTAAAAATTTTTTCTAAAAAAAGAGTAACAAGTGTGTCCTTGAAGAAAAATTTATTTAATCAGAAATCACATAACTACTTTAGTTTTATTTTTATTCATGATGTAAATATTTCTTAAAGCTTTAATTAGTTGATATGAGATCTCAGCTTATGTCACATCAATCAAAGCAACAATAAATAAACAAATAAATAAAAAAGGCGTTTACCCTGCAATTATGTCCCAAGAATTCCAGACCTGTTTTCAGCAGTGATGACTTTGTTTTTCCCTCCTACTCCCACTCTTCTGTTCATTACCCTTTGGAATGCCTAGGCATCAGCTTGGAAACCGAGGTCTTTTACCATGTGGCATTACCAATATTTACACATGGATCTTTACTTCTTCCTTGTATATTATGTTCTACCCTATTGGCCCATGCCAGTTGGAATTCTGAATGATTGATGCTAAGATATAAGCACGTTGGTTGTCATTTAAGGAAGTCAACTCTCAGAGCTTCTTATCCCAAAAGATTTCATTAGCATCAAGTCAAGAATCTGTTATTAGCAAAATGATGGGATAATGGAAATTATTTCATTGTTGTGATTCTGGGAGAGTAGTTGCTTCAGCAAAGAGAAGTCTGTGGCCTTTTGCCTTGTAGCTCTGTCTTTATGGAGGACGTAAAGTTGCCCTGAAGGGAAACTCTACCTTGTTGATATGTGAGAAAGAGCTATACTCTTTACCCAAGTTTGTGTATGTGTGTGTGTGTGTTGTTGTTGTTGTTTCCCTGAACAGATGGTAAGTATTGTCCTTGTCAGAATGCCATCCAAATGTTCTTTGCCACATAAGAATAGATGTCCTTGGAATATTGGTTTCATTGATGAATAGTAATTACATTATAGTCAGAGTCAAACTTTCTCTTTTAGGTACTGTCTTATAGTAGCATTAAAGATGTAAAGCTTTCAGAGCTAAAAGAATTTTCAGGTAAACCCCCTGCCTCATTAAGCTATTATCCGGTAAAGAGTTCTTCCTTTAAAAGTGTTATGCTGGCTTATGGTATGGTATGGTATGTTATGTTAAGCATACCTTTCATTTCATAGAGCAGACCTTCTGAAAATGTGTTCATTAAGATACATATTAAGTTGAGATTCTCTAATAAATATAGACAAACAATTTGTAGTATTCAGAAGTTTTGGAAAGTGTACATTTATCCTGAAGATATATTATTGGAGATCTACAGTAATATATTATTAGCTTATTAAATGTTCTGCATGTAGAAGGGAAACCTGTTCAAAAGATTTACCCAGGCTTTAAGTTACTTAGCCATGAAAAACTTTAATGAGGAGGATTTCAGTGATTAACATCATATGTAATTAGTGTCTCAGAAACACATTTTGGGAAATGCTGTCACAGGAGTCCTCTAAAAGCTGCTTTCTTTTTGTTGTCATACTCACCTTGCACTTCTGTGTTCAAATTTGAGGCTGTGTTTCATTCTTTCAGTCACTCTTACTTTTATCCTTAATTCCTCTGCCGTAATGCCTTTCTTATTTGCCCTCCTGAAAAATTGATCTATTTGTCCATCTTCTCTGCATCTTCACACTGGTTTCTGAGTGGTACTGGAGAAAAATCTCAAATCTCTATAGATGAAGGCCACTGATTCAAGACTTTCAGCCCCATTTAGGCCCTCAAGACTTTCCCATAGGTCTATGTTTCTCTGCTCAACTCTTTCTCGTTTTGCAGAATGGCTATTTTAGACCTTCTAAATTTCCTGCCATCCCCCGCCATTAGTTTTAGTAGATGACCCTTTTTTCTACTTCATAGGGTAATGGTAAATATTTTTTTATAAGATCCTAGAGATGCTGTGTGGGTGTTTTTATGTGGACTTTAAAATAAGAAATATTGGAGTCATTCTTGATTTCTCTTTCTTCCTTCACCCTTCATTGTATTAACATTAACTCTCAATTATTCTAGTTGGTAAATATCAGTCCTCTTCTTATCATCTGCTATATTTCCTAGTGCAGGTCCTCATAGACTCTCACTTGTAAGTCTTCTTAATGGATTGCCCTCCATGTTGGTTCCCTACTCTCCCTGCAGATCTCACCACGTCTCTCTGCTGTTTATAGCCTTCCAGTGACTCTGGTTGCTCTCAGGCTAAAGGCCAACATGAGTTAAATGCAGTACTTGCTCAGATCCCTCTTATCTTTTCTACTCTTGTGTCTCTTTATTCCCTCAGCTTCTTGGCTGTTACAGTGCTCTTTCTTACCTTTGAGCATTCGCACTGCCCTAATCCTTCTTTTTGGATTCCTGCTTCCTTGGCTGGCTAGTTCATCTTCTTAGGCTCAGTTAGGAGATTCTCAGCTGACCCTAGGTTAGGGATGGGACCCCTTCCCATGTGCTGCCATCTTACCTCATGCTTTTATGACACTCATCACACAGTATTGTAAGCACCTGCTTCTGTGTGGTTATCTATTTTTTTCTACTTTATTCCAATATCTAATAAAATATTTAGCATATTTATGTTCATTAAATATTTTCTGAACAAATGATGTGGCACA